ATGTCTCCAGTGTGACAAGTGAATGTTTCAACCAACCACCCATCACTGTGTTCTGATATGTCTCCAGTTTAAGTGAATGTTTTAACCAACCATCCATCACTGTGTTCTGATATGTCTCCAGTGTGACAAGTGAATGTTTCAACCAACCACCCATCACTGTGTTCTGATATGTCTCCAGTATAAGTGAATGTTTTAACCAACCACCCATCACTGTGTTCTGATATGTCTCCAGTGTGACAAGTGAATGTTTTAACCAACCACCCATCACTGTGTTCTGATATGTCTCCAGTGTGACAAGTGAATGTTTCAACCAACCACCCATCACTGTGTTCTGATATGTCTCCAGTGTGACAAGTGAATGTTTCAACCAACCACCCATCACAGTGTTCTGATATGTTTCCAGTTTAAGTGAATGTTTTAACCAACCACCCATCACTGTGTTCTGATATGTCTCCAGTGTGACAAGTGAATGTTTCAACCAACCACCCATCACTGTGTTCTGATATGTCTCGAGTGTGACAAGTAAATGCTTCAACCAACCACCCATCACTGTGTTCTGATATGTCTCCAGTGTGACAAGTGAATGTTTCAACCAACCACCCATCACTGTGTTCTGATATGTCTCCAGTGTGACAAGTGAATGTTTCAACCAACCACCCATCACTGTGTTCTGATATGTCTCCAGTGTGACAAGTGAATGTTTCAACCAACCACCCATCACTGTGTTCTGATATGTCTCCAGTATAAGTGAATGTTTTAACCAACCACCCATCACTGTGTTCTGATATGTCTCCAGTTTAAGTGAATGTTTTAACCAACCACCCATCACTGTGTTCTGATATGTCTCCAGTGTGACAAGTGAATGTTTCAACCAACCACCCATCACTGTGTTCTGATATGTCTCCAGTGTGACAAGTGAATGTTTCAACCAACCACCCATCACAGTGTTCTGATATGTTTCCAGTTTAAGTGAATGTTTTAACCAACCACCCATCACTGTGTTCTGATATGTCTCCAGTGTGACAAGTGAATGTTTCAACCAACCACCCATCACTGTGTTCTGATATGTCTCGAGTGTGACAAGTAAATGCTTCAACCAACCACCCATCACTGTGTTCTGATATGTCTCCAGTGTGACAAGTGAATGTTTCAACCAACCACCCATCACTGTGTTCTGATATGTCTCCAGTGTGACAAGTGAATGTTTCAACCAACCACCCATCACTGTGTTCTGATATGTCTCCAGTGTGACAAGTGAATGTTTCAACCAACCACCCATCATTGTGTTCTGATATGTCTCCAGTGTGACAAGTGAATGTTTCAACCAACCACCCATCACAATGTTCTGATATGTCTCCAGTTTAAGTGAATGTTTTAACCAACCACCCATCACTGTGTTCTGATATGTCTCCAGTGTGACAAGTGAATGTTTCAACCAACCACCCATCACTGTGTTCTGATATGTCTCCAGTGTGACAAGTGAATGTTTCAACCAACCACCCATCACAGTGTTCTGATATGTTTCCAGTTTAAGTGAATGTTTTAACCAACCACCCATCACTGTGTTCTGATATGTCTCCAGTGTGACAAGTGAATGTTTCAACCAACCACCCATCACTGTGTTCTGATATGTCTCGAGTGTGACAAGTAAATGCTTCAACCAACCACCCATCACTGTGTTCTGATATGTCTCCAGTGTGACAAGTGAATGTTTCAACCAACCACCCATCACTGTGTTCTGATATGTCTCCAGTGTGACAAGTGAATGTTTCAACCAACCACCCATCACTGTGTTCTGATATGTCTCCAGTGTGACAAGTGAATGTTTCAACCAACCACCCATCATTGTGTTCTGATATGTCTCCAGTGTGACAAGTGAATGTTTCAACCAACCACCCATCACAATGTTCTGATATGTCTCCAGTTTAAGTGAATGTTTTAACCAACCACCCATCACTGTGTTCTGATATGTCTCCAGTGTGACAAGTGAATGTTTCAACCAACCACCCATCACTGTGTTCTGATATGTCTCCAGTGTGACAAGTAAATGTTTCAACCAACAACCCATCACAGTGTTCTGATATGTCTCCAGTATAAGTGAATGTTTTAACCAACCACCCATCACTGTGTTCTGATATGTCTCCAGTTTAAGTGAATGTTTTAACCAACCACCCATCACTGTGTTCTGATATGTCTCCAGTGTGACAAGTGAATGTTTCAACCAACCACCCATCATTGTGTTCTGATATGTCTCCAGTGTGACAAGTGAATGTTTCAACCAACCACCCATCACAGTGTTCTGATATGTCTCCAGTTTAAGTGAATGTTTTAACCAACCACCCATCACTGTGTTCTGATATGTCTCCAGTGTGACAAGTGAATGTTTCAACCAACCACCCATCACTGTGTTCTGATATGTCTCGAGTGTGACAAGTAAATGCTTCAACCAACCATCCATCACAGTGTTCTGATATGTCTCCAGTATAAGTGAATGTTTTAACCAACCACCCATCACTGTGTTCTGATATGTCTCCAGTTTAAGTGAATGTTTTAACCAACCACCCATCACTGTGTTCTGATATGTCTCCAGTGTGACAAGTGAATGTTTCAACCAACCACCCATCACTGTGTTCTGATATGTCTCCAGTGTGACAAGTGAATGTTTCAACCAACCAACCATCACAGTGTTCTGATATGTCTCCAGTTTAAGTGAATGTTTTAACCAACCACCCATCACTGTGTTCTGATATGTCTCCAGTGTGACAAGTAAATGCTTCAACCAACCACCCATCACTGTGTTCTGATATGTCTCCAGTGTGACAAGTGAATGTTTCAACCAACCACCCATCACAGTGTTCTGATATGTCTCCAGTGTGACAAGTGAATAATTTAACCAACCACCCATCACAGTGTTCTGATATGTCTCCAGTGTGACAAGTGAATGTTTCAACCAACCACCCATCACAGTGTTCTGATATGTCTCCAGTATAAGTGAATGTTTCAACCAACCACCCATCACCTAGTTCAGATATGTCTCCAGTATAAGTGAATGTTTTAACCAACCACCCATCACAGTGTTCTGATATGTCTCCAGTGTGACAAGTGAATGTTTTAACCAACCACCCATCACAGTGTTCTGATATGTCTCCAGTGTGACAAGTGAATGTTTTAACCAACCACCCATCACACTGTTCTGATATGTCTCCAGTGTGACAAGTGAATGTTTCAACCAACCACCCATAACTGTGTTCTGATGTCTCCAGTATAAGTGAATGTTTTAACCAACCACCCATCACCGTGTTCAGATATGTCTTCAGTGTGACAAGTGAATGTTTTTACCACTAGGCTATGCTTACTATGTTCCTATTCATCCCAGTGTCTTCAGCATTACCAGCATACATTTCATTATTATCAAACAGTCTGATTGAATGTTAATATTACATAGCCATGTTCATTTCATGTTTCTTTTGCTGTATATCATACATATTGAATGAACAATGCTAACAAAGCAGTTCACCCTGACCTGTTATCCTACAAAACATTATTCAGCCGAATTTAACATGATGTAATTGACATGACATGGAAGATTGTGAGCATTCAGTCTGACCAGTTTGATTCAGTGCCGATTTTATCATCCTGTCTAAATTTATAAAGATGAAATATTTGCAAAAGAGACCTAAAAATCAAAGTGAGTATGTATGATGTTAATGAATCATGTCCTGCAACTTTTTTGAATCGCTATGACCTGAGACAAAACCAGACAGTGATGATTCAATGATTCAGACAAGTAGTCCATCTCCATCTTTGGATGGAGCGGTAAACCTAAGTTCACTTAAGAAAAGCGAAGGAATCAACCATGCATGAGTACACAAATACAACATGAATATTCACCAGTTTTGACCCCCAAAAGCGTGAACTTGTCCAAATCACAAAGAGGTTACCTGGATTCTCCATAGCGTCCTATCGACACTTGAGAGATGAATCCCATACACTGTAATGACAAAAACGCTGTAACGACCCTGTCGCAGTGAGGGTTATTAGTTCTGCGACTCAGACGAGCGACGCCAGAGGCACTGGCTGAAAACACAACTCCCAGCTCTTCTTTCTCTGATGAGCAGAAGTGTTGTTGGGACCTAATACACCCGACAGCAGCTCTCGGGAAACGTTCTACATCTGCAATTCGAGGAAATCAATTCATTGATCCTCTTTGCCTCAACTCTCGGCTCTGGTTGCCATGGCGACACAAAGCCAATGATCTATTATCAAGAAGATACCCCCAAAGAATGGGGTCGGGGTATTGGGCAAACCCTTATTGGTCCCCCCTCCCGGAACAAAGGTTTGTAATAATGGTTAGGTGGTTCTGTGCAGGAACCGCACAAATGTTCATCATTCAACAGCAATGAATTTACATTGTTTGGTTGGAATGGCAGAAACATAGATCAATAATTAATGGTTGCTGACTAGCTTGTGAATACAGACGTAGTGGGTATGTGACCTTGCTGAGAAGAACATGGGGCCAGGCTAGGTCCCATCGCCCTGTCAGACTTTTGGCACGGCCACAAAAAAGTCATTTCCGATAATCAGGCTATTGTTCTTCTCAAGTCGAGCAACAACATGTCAATAGCCATTATAGAGTAACAGAGGAAGGATTTAGAAGCATGACATGTAGCTCTGAAACTATGGATTTATCTACCATGGGCTGTCAATACGATAATGTATATGAGTTTCCTTGGTTGTGAAACTGACCTCTACATGCAATCAATGAAAATCAACCAACCACTGACTTGGCTGGAGTAATGAAATTCAAGTCATCAAATGCCGTGCCCTGGTGGTTGATGATGATGATGAGTCTTATTCTTATAGTGTGAAGTTATCTTTCAGGATAATAATAGTAAAATAGTAAAGATCTAATAGTTCATATTAAGTATCCTTACAAACAACTGATGTTGAAAACATCTTTTCTTATCATTCTCATGTGATACAGATGAACAAACACTCACCCACACTCTGGCCCAACGACAGTTCTGTATTTTCCTTTGAATAAAACATGATTAAAAATGTCAGATGTAACCTGATTTGAAATGTGACTGGAAACACATTCAACTTACTCGAGTAAATAATGAGGGTAACTTTAGATTCTATCAATATTGTGAACATACAGTAAACTACGGTAATAACAAACTCAAAGGGACCACTAATTTCAGTTTGTTATAACCGCAGTTCATTATAAGATATATACAACATCTATACAGCAAATGGCAAGAAATAAGTCAGTTCGTTAAAAGCATGTTCGTTATAAACATAGTGTACTGTAGATGGAAATACTATTGTGTCTAAAAGTGTGCATGAAAACATGAGCTCATTCACTGTTCTTAATGGACAGTATAAATATAATCTTGGTAATTCAATGAAAAGTGAGTATGATATGTTTGATATATCATGTATCATCACTGTATTGAAAGACAATCTGTTACAATCTGGGCTCCGGATAATGTTCTAAGCCATTGATTTGTTGTTCAACGCCGCACTCAGCAATATTCCAGCTATATGACGGCGGTCTGTAAATAATCCAGTCTGGACCACACAAACCAGTGATTGACATCATTAGCATTGATTCACGCAATTGGGATACGATGACATGCACTAACCAAGTCAGCGAGCCTGACCACCCGATCCCATTAGTTGCCTCTTACGACAAGCATAGTCGCCTTTTATGGCAAGCATGGGTTGCTGAAGACCTATTCTTTACAGGTCTTTAACCCAATGAGTATTTACTCATATGTTATCAATAATATTAGGTACATGTGTATATTGAGTATTTTCTCACTTGTTCATTTTAGGCATTGATATTCTCTTGTGGGGTATTCACCATACTTTATCCCCTTGGGTCTAGTCTATTGGTGATTTATAAACCAGTGACTTAACCTTATATAGCAAAATTTCTGCATAAAAATGCTGTTACAGGCGACTTTATGTGTGTATGTGCCGCCCCAGGAGTGCCACATGTCTCATGGGCTCACAACTGCGATAAACTTCTAAATTGAGAAATATAGCACTTTTGTGACTTATTCACGAAAGTGGAGTTCATGTAGATGCAAAACCTCGTATGGTTATGGGCTCAAACGTTCAAAATTTGTGACATGAATCTTTTCTTCGTGTTTTAGAAACTCTGATTTTAATCAACAGTTTAAAGGGACAGTATGTCGACCGTTCTGAAAAATTGTTTGTAAACAATAGCCGATAACCCTCGAGCTTCTTGGCTCTACTTGCCTTATTCTGCAAGAGAAGTTTCTGCACCAGTAGCAACACTGTGGGCATAGGCTTATCACATGACCAGACTTTTCTCTTGTTTGTAAACAAACACACATATTTTGAAAGAAGAACAGACAGGTCTAATGCAAGCCTTTCGGTGCCCTGTAATATTGTTTTGCGTAATTATGTAGACATACTACTACAACTGCGACAGTGAAGTGCATGACAATATAGCTTTATACATCAAAGTGACCGTATCGCTAGCTGTTCAGACATCGATAACAGCACATGGAGGAGAAATACACAAAAGGAACATCTGTCTGGAGAGCAGAAGGTCGGGGGTTTGATTCCCAGCTGTGTCATACCAAAAGACGTTAAAAATGGTACTTGGTGTTACCCTGCCTGGTGCTCAGCACTAAGGGGCTAAAACAAGGACTGGTCGGCTCGGAGGCAATATACTGAGTCTGAGTGGGGTGTTCATGTTAAACTGCGACATGGTATCTCATTGGGCTAGCACTAGAAAATCGGCATCAGTATGGACTAGTACAAGCACACACACACACGCACATGCACAATGGACTGTAAGATGTGACAGAGGTACCAGGCTGTCCACAAGGAACCCTTGGTAGGAGACTGATTGGCTTCATATGATGAAAGTATATTTATATCCCAATCTAGGCTATGATAAACCCTGGTGTCCAATCTAATTAAGCTGCCAATGGGTATTTTGTAACTCATCTGTAAGAAAAACACAAACTTTCGCTTCAGTTTGCCTCTAATAAAAAACATGACTGAAGCCAGTTTACGCTGCACAGAGCCTGCATTGTTGGCTTCACTGTGCAGAGCTCTATTGTTTGATTTGAGACTTGAATCAGGCATGTGACACTCCGAAATTATTTTATACATGATTTAAAAACACCCAGACCCGTGGATGTACTGTCCCTTTAACAAACTAAAATGTTTGAACATAAAGCAAATTGTATTTTTGAAACAGACTCTCTCATGCAGCCAATCCAATTTTCAAGTATATTCAGGGACTACAATGATCGTAGCTATTTTAGATTGGTTTAAATCAACTGCACATTTTGATTGCAGCTTAAAATTACCTCAGCCTACAATTGCTTTGTGCAAGTTGATGGCCATTGTAGCCGAAGCCAAAGACCACAATCTTAAGAACTTTTCAATAGTTATAGCACTAAGATTGTTTTGTGGGAGTGGGCCCTGGGGTATATTTACTGTTTGCTGCAGGTCTAATTGCTCTACCCACTGCTTTTCAGATTACTTTTATTCATCAAACACTTGTCAATGTGTGATCACAAACTGTACCCCTGCTTTTCCCAAATGCTACATCAGGGCAGGGAAAAAAGAGGGGGGTGGGAGGGATTTCTGGGGGGTTGATTTGGTTCTTAAGCAAAATTATTGATAAATGACCCCAGTGGAACCCCCCTTTTTGGATCCGCCCTTGTCAGAGATTGATACCTAGTCTTAACACTGCACTGGGATAACTATTTAGGCATCATTGACCAATATATCCTTCTAAACAGCTTTACATTATCATACTTTGCAGCAAACATGATATACCTTTTCAATATCAATATCAGAGTTCGAAACGTAGTATGAAAATTGAAAGTTCCTTGTCATAATGTTGAGAGCTGAGAACTGGGGATCATTAGATTCAAATACTTACAGCAGAAATCCTCAAGGACCCCCCTTAATCTCCAACACTGAAATATGCATACCGAGAGAAACCTTGAGTGTAAGAGTAATACATTTTCTTCTATTACTTCAACCACCAAATAACATAAAATTTCAGGCCATCTTAATTTCCACAAATGTGTGCATGTTGCCTTATGGTACAATCTGCAATATTTCAGATATATCAAAATGGCGTCCAAATAATCTAGTGTGGGCGAGGCAATCCATATTTACAAATGATCATGATGAAACAAACCGTACACTTTGTACTTAGAGCAAGCATCTCCAGGGGTTTAGTCAGTGATGAACAGATCCATTAGTATGGGACTAATAGTTCCTTGGAAGCAGAAACATCCCTAAGGCAAACTTCCTCAGATGTTAGTGTGTATGACTGGAATAGATTTACTTAGCATAATGTTGTATTTAGCATGAGAGAGAGTGGAATGCATCTACTGACATAATATTTATTCAGTTAAAATAATTTTGAAGGAATATCAATATGGGAATTATGAAAGCAATCATGTCGTAACTAAAAGTCATGAGTGAGTGAGTTGGTATTTGCACCGGTTAAACAGTATTCCAGTTATATCACGTTGTGTCAGCTTAATGTGGGAGGAAAGCCCGAAGTGATGCTGATCTGGACGTTTACCACTTTGGTGAAACCCACAAGCACGAGTATGGTGCTGAGAAGCCTAGAAACATTACTGGGGGTGATCTGTTTTCGAACACACGCTCATCTAAGGTTTCTGAAGTGCCCAAGGGGGGCAACTCTGCACAGTGAATTGCGGCAACTTACACGACTAGGCCACCCATGCCAACTATACCCTTCATTGACATGTGTTGCTATGGTTGATATTAGGTCCATAACAAGTCAACAAATGCAATGTGAGCATTGTATATTAATGTCATTTTCTGATGAAAAACAAAATGTATAAAAATGAGGATGCTATCAATTGTTGAGCGGCCTTGAGAGGTGTGGGATGTGATACAGGTCCATCACACTATATATCCCTAGGGACCGAATGACAGCAAATTTTTCTTATCGGCCTTATGTTTTCAGCAGTCTGGCCAGCAAACTGTTTCATGGAATACCTTGACATGTAGCAGATGACAAAAGCACATTCAGAATTACCACCCTTGCATTACAATCAGGTCAAGCTCCTTCCCAGAGTGTGACACCTTTATGACACTCTTGGTAACATTGCTGCCACCACTGTGGGCGCTGCCATTACAAGAATCTTGAAATTGGCCCTCTAACCCATATTGACAAAGAAAGAAAGTAATTTAGCAGGGGTAAGTGTATTTGGTGTCACAACAGTCGTCACTTGTTTGTAAACATAATCGGCTGTGAGTTCAACTCCAAGCATCGTTGTGGTCATCTATCACTGTGGGGAGTTTTAAATGGTGGCAGCGATAGTACAGGGAGCTCTGCGAACGGGATATCGCTGTGAGGAGCTTGACAATCAGGTATGTCCAGTTACATATGCTAAACCGCATTTGACAGGTGTTCAATTTCGAGATTATACAATCATATTACATTTGCAGTGGTAAGAATGTCTTTCCCAGAGGGGTATATGAAATCTGTACCTCGTCTTTCAGCGGGGTAGAAGGGAAGAAATTGTCCAATACGTTACCAATTAGAAATTAGTATCTTAATGCAAGGTAAAATAAATTTTACTTATAGCGTGTGTGTGTACAATACTATTCTCTGATAGAAGAATGTGGAAACAATTTCTCATTTTATCAACTGAAGCTTCAAAGTATGTTTTAGTTGGATCTTCAGCGATTATTGAGTGATTGAGTGAGTGAGTTGGGTTAAACACCACTTTGAACAGTATATCATTCACACGGCACCTCACCTTGTTCATGAGGAAAGTTATGTTGACCTTACATCAGAGTACCCCAGGACCCCTCTTAATTTCAATCACTGTTACTATGTACATAGTCTGGTTCTTCAGCCATTCGTCCAAAGCCTGAGTACCTGTGAAGATCTGGGGTAGAATAGGTCTTCAGCAACCCATGCTTGCCATAAAAGGCGACTATGCTCAGACCAACTGACTTGGTTGATGCGTGTCATTGTATCCAAAATGCGTAGATCAATGTTCATGATATCAATCACTGGATTGTCTGGTCCAGACTTAATTATTTACAGACCACCGTCATAAAGCTGGTATATTGCTGAGTGCGGTGTTAAACAACAAACAAACAAAACTAACAAACCAAAGCCTGAGTCTACTAAAATGGACTGCCTCTTGGTCCAGTGGATAAAAACGTTTGGCAGTAGAGCGGACAGTTGGTGGTTCAATCCAAAATATGTTGAAACATGAAACTTCTTGTTTCCAGCCTGGTACTCAGCATTAGGGGATAAAAGAAGGACTAGTCGACTCAGAGTGTGATTAATGTGTCCAAGTGTAGGATCCATTTAAAGCTGTGGCAATGTATCTCAGTGGACCAGCACTACAAAAGCATCATTAGTCCAGACTAGTACAAGCATGTTATGATATGATATGTGTATACACTGTGCCAGAACTTTTTGCGCACACGCAATTATACAATCACGGGACAAAATATTGATCGTCTAACTGATACATGGATATCCCATTTTCTTCAAGATCAGTTTAAAGTAGAGGAGACACATCAATATATTGAAATCTACTGTAGCCCTATCATAGACAACAGAGCCACCAGACTGTGGCAGTGAATGAGTGAATAATCTATAAACTTGTATAAAGTCATGCGAATTGGCTCTAATCAGTCAGACCCGGGTAACTGTCTTTCATCTACAGATGATGGCCTCTCAAACACAGGAGCGGGGCTTCCACAAAATGTTAGCCTGTCCCAGACAAGCAAATTCTGTCCAAGTGTCCTTGTTGGAAGTCAACAGCTGCTTGTCATTTGCAATATTTTGTTATTCCAAATCTGTCCTTTTCAGACCAAATCAGTTGGCCCAACAATTCATCAATCTGCAAAACAACTACTATGTGTTTTTTTTCGATGGACGTCTGACACTTGTCCATGAGGAAAAACCATCATACCAATATTTGTTTTTCCAAGGATAAAAAAATAGGGAGGGAGCCTAGTGGTTAAAGTATTTGCTCATTACACCAAAAGTCCAGGTTTTATTCTCACACATGTATACCATGTGTGAAGACCATTTCTGGTATCCTCACCAATGACATTGCTGGAATAGTGCTAGAACCTAGAATAAGCACTATCAGATATAAACAACCACTTTTTATCGCTCCTATTATTAATTCCAGATTTGTTAAATCTAACGATTTCAACAGCAAATAATAACACACGAGTGAGTGAGTGAGTATGGTTTTACGCCGCTTTTAGCAATATTCCAGCAATATCATGGCAGGGAACACCAGAAATGGGCTTCACACATTGTACCCATGTGGGGTATGGGCCTTGGGCGTGACGAGCGGACACTTTAACCACAAGGCTACCCCACAGCCCCTAATCACACACGAAAGTTTTGGTACTGAATCAGAGTGTCAGACAACTTAAATACTTATATATCTCCTGAAGATTTAAAGAGGGACTATGCTCCAAATCTACCCTTTTCCAGAAGAACCCTAGGTGTTATAATTTGTGACGTATTAAAATCTCAGACAAGGTCTCTGTTAATTCCGGTAACCATCAAAACCCTGGATTGATGTTGATCTCTGAGTTTACAAAGTCTGTTTTAAATGACTTGAATCAAATTAAGATTGCCAATGGGCAGGAGCCTGAGCCAAGTTTCTCCTTTGAACAAAATTCATTTTAGCATGAATTAAAATAAAATGCATTAGTATTTGTGAATTGCTGGAATTGTTTCTCTGAAGTGTATGTGTTTCTACAACATACATTTAAAGATAGCAAGGTAAAAGTTTATGACACCCTTTTCATGATAAACCAATTCTCTTTTGAATGTCACACTGTGTCAGGGGCGGTCGGGTAGCCTAGTGGTTAAAGCGTTCGTTCGTCACGTTCGATTCCCAACATGGGTACAATGTGTGAAGCCCATTTCTGGTGTCCCCAGCCGTGATATTGCTGGAATATTGCTAAAACCATACTCACTCACTCACTCACTTACTCACACTGTGTCAAAAGATCTTTATAAAGCTTCTGTACAACAAAGAGCCAACAAAAATCATTTTCTGTCTATTTCTGACCCTGGACCAACCACACAGTCGAACAAAATAGCTAATGATTTAAACAACTGTACAATAACCTACACTGGTTTTGAGTAACAACACCAAAAGAACTGAAAAGACTATAACCTCACCTACATAAAACCAGCATGATCGTCTTTCAGCAACTAATCTCGAGCATCTCAATCTGTGCCACATTCTGCAAGAAATGAACAGATTATTACCAATATGATAATAAATATCAAATTCCAAATTTCTTCACTGCATCATGTTGCAATATATAGGTAAAGGGCAGTAATCCAGCGCTTACAGGAACAGAATCACTCAAACCTATACGATGTCTTCATAAAATCAATGATCACACAGTCAGCAACAGTTATCTCCCTTTGTCCACAATCCCTTCAGCCGTATCAAGATGACAGCCCTGGGCCCAATCCCAGTAATCATTGGCAGGGTAGCGGAGTCCCTTGCTCCCATATCTATGTCAGGCCCTACAGCAAGTTCAATATTTCATAGATTTTCCTATCACACATATCTCCTGCTGCAAGTGATTGACTGGGTTAATTTGCCTGAAACTGGCATTTTCGTCAACCCAAGTACACCTTAAAAATGTCCTGGTTGTCTGTATGAAATATACTTCATCTGCATGTATCTATAGGGTAGAAATATTGGACATGAGCATCAGGCCAGGGTTCATGTAATTATCTTGGAAAATGAACAACACCAAGACACAAAATCAATTTCATCTGAGTTATTTTTGTCTTGATCTGCAGTTCACCATGGGTTCGGTTTACGATGGGTTTCAGTATTCAATCAGTTCAGCTACATCGACAAAATAATTCTATTTTGAGACTCAAGTCTGTAATTAGATTTTTACAAATGCTGGGCAGGAAATGCATTTGTGATTTTAAAAAATAAATAACACTTAACACACGATGTTCTTGTGGTTCAGTTGAAATGAATTTCTGTACTGCCTGCTTGTTATTTAAAAATGAAGTCATTCCAAACAAGGCGACAAACTAGAAAATGGCTACCTGTTGGAAGCAGTTCATTGTTTATACTGTAAGTGTGTCTGACTAAATCGTTTCAGTTCAAGTCGTGACATTTATGCAAAACTGATTTGAAATAAAGAATGTGACATTATCTTGAAGACTTAACATATAACATACCTGTTTCTTACTTTTCAGTGAGTAAGTCATGATTGGTTAACACCACTTCTAATTTATTATACTTGATAGCCATTTAGAAGTGGTACACATAAGAACATATATTTTAGGAGCGGTAGGGTAGCCTAGTGGTGAAAGCGTTCGCTCGTCATGCCGAAGACCTGGGTTCGAATCCCGACATGGGTACAATATGTGAAGCCCTTGTCCTGGAGTATTGCTAAAAGCACTCACTCCCTCACACATGTTTTATCAGCCAAAGATGTCATCCACTAGCTCAGCTAAGAATTCCATATACTAACACTAAAATTATGCAAAGAAACAATTCTGTGTAGTGGACCTAGCCTGCACAGATTTGTTCATGGATGTCAACTTAATATCTTACTCCTTCAGGTGAATGATAATAGCAGTGGATGGACAGGCCATCACTGTCTTCATGGAGGCACATTTACTCCAAAATATGCTTGAAAGGCTTGACTTCATTTCACTATGCTTAACCTTTTATATTAAATCAAATTGAAAGTCACGAAAGTGGTTTGGTGCATCACGCTCATAGGGACCCTCGCTCTATCAGCAGTCGTACATTGCAAATGGATATAGCTCGATTATATAATGTCTGTAGTAGCTCTATGCATAACTAATGTAGACTGCAAAGTGAATTTGATACGTGAAACTATCTTGTCTGGTTTAGTAAAGTGCGTGTGAATGTCTCTTGCTTTCATGAGCTAGAGTACTTCTGCCATGTAGTTGTAAAAGTGAATGACGTCTCGTGGTTTTTTTATGAAAGAAAAAAGTTGTTCCGGTGTGACAGAGGTCACTGTTATCCAATCAAAACAAATAAAACAAGTCAATCTTATACGACACACGTGTGACGTACAGATGTATCTACTGAATGAGCTCAGGGTTGTAAACTGTGTTAATTGCCCATCCCTTTTTACCAGGAACTGACTACCATATTTTCTTGTTTGTTTGTTTGTTGTTTAACGCCACACTCAGCAATGTTAAGTATAGTGTGCACCCAAGCATAATATCCACCCTAACTTGGGAATGCAGCGTTTTGGAGATATTTGTTTTTTTAGTTTTAAGCGCAGTCAAAAATTACATTGTATAGCTTCAGGTGAACGAACAGTTGATAACAAATTGTTCAATGAAAATGTGAAATTTGCGATAGAACATCACTAGACATGACTATTTACCATTTCAATTGTATTTTCTCTTCTGCTCGGCATTGTTTTATATGCAGAGATTATGACTACGTGTGTATTTGTCTCATAAACTAAGCCAGAAATAGCCACACACTTTCTCCTCTATCTGCTGGTGATTCAGTTAAAAATACCCAATTCTATTTCTTGAAAGAATCCCTATTCTATTGTCAATATTTGATGTATATCCAGACACCCGTTGTTAAGAGTCACGTATCTTCACTGAAGGTTTATAACCCACAACCAACTATTTTCTGTGTATTATTATTTCCTTCAAACAATCACATTTAAGAACAATATGTTGTTGGTATATCTTGAAAGAGAGAAGTCCCTTGGTAAGGTGTTTTTCAGAGAGCCGTCCTGATTGCCTGCCCTCGTGTGCTTGAGTGCACTGTTGGGGCTGATTTGCATCTCTGTATATGTTGTATTAAAATACAGTTTTCAAAATTAAGGGGGGTCTTGGGATCCTTGAGGTTAGCTTCAAAGTATTTTAATCTTGAGTCCCTGAAATCTGCAACTTGTAACATTAGGGCTATGACAAGGATTCCTTGACTTCCATTATTAATTTTCGAAAACTGAAAATATATGTGTGTGCATGTGTGTGTGCATGTGTGTTCATGCATGTGTGTGCCCCCCATACTAATGAACATATAAAAAGTATGTGAATCTACATCATCATCTTAATCTTATATACCTACAGTCAGGATTTGAGAGCAGTTATGAGTTCTGTCATTTCATCTATCAATCATGAGCACTGTTCACATAATCATTGACTCATTATCAAAAAGACAGTACACAATTTCATTAGTTTGAAGGACCCCCATATTGCCTGCAAGGACACTTAAAGTAAATTATTGTAAGTCTTTTTGTAAGTCAAGGTAAAACCCTGCCTACAGTCATATCACTGACTGAAAGTTCAGGTGGGACAAACTTCCAAAGGGACATGTATCATGTTTGACATGTATCATGCTTGTCACGTATCATGCTTGTCACGTATCATGTTTGACACGTATCATGTTTGACACGTATCATGCTTGACACATATCATGTTTCCACTTTGTTGAAACACACAAGCATGGGTATTTTGACAAACCAAACCCACCCTTATCAAAATTATACAGGATCTTACCAGTAGATCCTGTCATGACCAAGGGAAGCAACTATGACCAGCAAGTGGCAGTTCCTTAGATCACTTGGCCATCTGTTCCCCAGGGAAATATCCATGGGAGTGAGGAATTTCCCAATATTGAAGCTATATCACACTGGGAGATAGATGAACAGCATGACATGCTGATAGTGTACCCATGTGTGGAATCAAACTCTGAATTTCAGCTTCACAAGCAAACATGTTGACCCCTAGGACAACCCTCCCACTCCTGAAGGAAAACCCAAGGTTAATGTACAGCATCTCAAGGAAAGGCACAATGGCCAACTATTCAATGGATATGGATTCAAAACTAACCAAACTTTAAGTCCAACCTCATTAGTTTCACAATACCAACCATGATACAGATAATAACAATAGGCCTATTTATATTGCACTAAATTGCTCAAAGCGCTCACTATTACTACCCAGGTCAATGGATCAGTGTGCCTTCAACAATCATTCTCAGCTCCTTGGGGAGTATACAAACCAAGGTGCCTGTGAGGTGCTAGAAGGTTACGAAACACATTGCCATCTCATCCTACCGAGTACCCATTCACTGCTGGATGAAAATGGGCACATTTCAAACAAAGTCACTTGCCAAAGGAGACACCACATGTGCTACATGTGCTTCAGTGTGGGGCAGGACTGAAGCCCTGGAAACTCTCAGGAGCATGGTCACCCATCCAACGACTCTCCAGGACCAACGTTGCTTAACTTCGCCTGATTTGTGACCTGTGCGCTGGTAGTAGTATGATTCTTCCTGATTTTCCACATTTTCCCATACTAAGCCAATTTCAACAATATGGATTTGGAAGCCCTAGACTTGATCATAATCCATGAAATCTCTACCAGGTTATCAAGAACATGAAGCCCTTCTAAAAAATATTGATTACAGTCTGTTCACTCAAAATCTAATATTTTGAGACAGCTGACATTCACAAAGACCTCACTTGCCTTTCAATTGGGTTAGGAAAATGTCCCCCTGGTATTAAGAAAGTGAATACAATATTCATTGATTCTTTAGTCTGACATATCGAAAAAGAAGAAAACTTTAAAAAAGTATACTTAATGGAGAAATCACTTGAATCTGTTGATTCCGGAAGTAGAATTAATTCACTGGTTCTGGGATCATTGAATCTTCTTCCAGGATGAACAGATTCCAGTGATTTCTCTGATTTAAACCATGTTATGGTCGCTAAATATTTCTCTATAATTCTGTATAATGACCAACAAGTTTTATTTGTTGAAACCCACGTTCAGAATGGCCAGTGTATTTCTGACTCAGAAACAACTGAAACATAGATAGAATCCGATACACAGAGATGACAGCCTTAAATATGTCTTCTCAGCTGAGATGCTCATCGAACAATTGATAGGCCACGATGACCTCTACTTCCAACAGAGTTAATATATACATATGACAAAATAAAGATGACATTTTACCTCAGTAATGGCTATGTATTTGTATTCCGGCAGCATTAATGGACAGGGCAGCTACATAGTAAAGGTCTCCGTCGTTCTAATGTAAATTAAAAGCGATAGATACTACACTTTCTTCGGTGACGAACTGGTGCAGTTGATAAATATCAATCTTAATTTTAACACGAGCCAAATCCAATTTTGTCCATGGTGGCGCTATGGGCTAGATGTCCCTGCTGCATCAGTTGTCGGAGATGCACCACAACCA